GGGAGAGGTGAGTGGTTTGGACATATTGGTGGATTGAGGCAGCGGCAGGTTGGGTTATTGGGGGTTAAGGACGATGGTTGGTGTATTTAGACAACAGGTTTTTGGCGAGCAGTGACTGAAGTCCGAATCCAAAGCAGCAGTGCGTTTGTGTGGGAGCACATGGAAGCTTTTGTTGATTGCTACAAGTAGATGTCGATCGGTACAGGTTCGGAGGAGCTTGATCTTGATGAACTTGATGCTGAGGAAGTTCCGGCGAAGACAGGTCCTAAAGAGTTCCCGGTGATCGGCCAGGTATTAACTGATAGGAAGATTAAATTTCCGGATTTTAAAGAGATGATGCTATCTTTGTGGAGACAAGGGAAGGGTATGGCGGTTAAGGAGATCAGGGAAAAATGTATTTGTTTACTTTTTTCATCATTTTGATATGATGTGTGTTCTTGAGGGGGGTCCATGGCAATTTGAACGCAGTCTTGTGATGTTAAAAGAAGTTATGCCTGATGATATCTCACATAAAATTATTTTAAACGAATCAGAGTTTTGGGTTCAGATTCATAATGTTCCCTATAGTCTTGTTAACCTGGGTGCTGCCAGACGTGTGGGAAATTTCATAGGGCAATATGTTAAGTATGATGATTTTCACAAGAGTGATAAATTAGAGTCATATATGCGGGTTAGGGTTCTTATGAAGATGGATAAATCATTGAAGAAAGGGACAAATTTGAAAAAAGATGGCAAAAGCTTTTGAGTAGATTTTAAATATGAGAGGCTGTCAACTTTTGCTTTATCTATGGTTTTATTGTACATTCAGATAATTTTTGTCCCTTAAATTATGAAGAAGGCTTAGTTTTAGAAAAAAGATTTGGGATCCATCTCAGAGCAGGGAGCGGGGTGAAAGCAAGTCCTACAGGAGGTCATAAATGGCTTCTGGAGGGTTCATCGAGCTCTGGCAAATCAGGTGGATATATAGAGGCACATAAATTAGAGGACAAGATAGATGAAAGAGGGAAAGATGTAACGACTGAATAAACCAAAGCTTTATCAAAGGAGGTGGGGAGGAGTCAAAAGAAGAGGTTTCAAAGAGAAGGAAGATCAGGGAGATCCAGACAGAGCAGGAGCAAGAGGAGGATGTCATGGCCTTGGATGGGACAAAAATCGGGGAGGAGGCGGGCTTTGCTCCTTAAGCCCGCCGAAGCCGCTGACGGAAGATGGGAGGTCGCAGGTCCGAGGAATGATTCGTGTCTTCTGGCTGCATCAGAAGTTTATTAATTTTTGTTTTGTTTGTTGTTTCAGAGACCGTTATGTTTGCTTTGCTGTTTGTTTTTTCTGTTATGTTCCTGTTTGTAAGACGTTGATTTTGGATGTGGGGGATGAGATGAATATGGTGACCGGTTATGGCTTTAAGTTTCCCACTTTTGGATCAATGAATTGTATTGCTTCTTTGGAGGTGATTAATTCCGAGTCTGGTTCACGGGATAGCGGTTGTCAGATTTCTTTTTGTCATTTGACCCATACTTTGAATTATCTGTTATCAATATAAGCCGAATTCTTCCAAAAAAAAAGTTGAAACAGTTGAATGAGATATCAATATCAAATAGGTACATATATCTCACGATTGATTGTTTTTGAATTCTCAGATCAGACATACGATGTATAACTTTTGATCATAGTTGTGCATTTTATCTTTGACATGTTATGCTCTATTTTCAAATTGAGGTTTAGAGGAGTTGAAGTAGAGGATAGATTATTGGTGTCATATGTAATATTGGTGTCATATGAAAGATTATAGAAATGTGAAAACTGAAGAACAAATAAAAAAGTTATAACAATTTAAAGAAAAATGATATTTCATTTTGGCTGGCCCCACGTCTCTTTCTCCCTCTACCCGGCATGTACATGCGCATGTTCTTGGTTTTGTTCACTTCACAATTCCCGTCTCTTTTGCCAGTGTTTTTAGGCGGTAATGTTGTTTACTTTTCCACTTTGCTTTGTATATAGTAAGATAAGATGCTTTGTTTATAATAAGGTTTTTTGGTTTCGTCAAATGCTTTAAATCTTCCTCAAGCCCACTTCTCAGTAAAGGTAATCAGCTCCAACACCTTTGAACTATACAAGCTGCTCGAAAAGGGTCCCTCCAAAAAAAATCCTTCCAAAACACAATTCAAATACGTAGTATTATCAATGTCAACTCAAGGGTAGGGGATAGATTATGATATTGATTCAGGGATAATATTAATGGGTAATCACAAAGAATTTATTGTCAAAAGTACAACAGAATGCTTAAGAACATTTAGGCTCATAGGCATAGCAAACAAAAATAAAATGTGTGGACAGGCTTAAAACTCCAATTCTATGAAAAAGGATCTAAATCATATATCAAGTCATTTGCACTATAACACAACTTTCAAAAATAGAAATAAAAAAAGCTTTACTTGCAAACTAAGGATGATTTCTTTTGGGCCGAAATTTGTTGGTTTGGTCTGGTCTGGTCTGGTCTGAACTAGTCCGATCTGGTCTGGTAAATATCTTGTCTCTGTGTATTTTATAACTATGGAAGTCTGGTCTAGTCTGATATGATTTGATCTGATCTGATCTGAGACTGAAAATAGTCCAAAAGAAAACATTCTTAGAGGCCATAGACCCACAGGCTTCCCAATAAGGTTAGAGATGGATCCTAAAATATCAAAAGGAGTTGAGAAATACATCAAAACAATAACATAAGAAACTAAAAAATTTGGTTCAAGTAAAATCGATGTGAGGGCAAGACCCAATTCATTTTAATATCCAACACACAGCCCACCAATCATACCACACACGGAGTACTAAAAAGGAAAATTTTTCAGCTTAAAGCAAAAAAGTAATCTGATATGAACAGTTCTTTCCAACTCATGCAAGAAAACTATACCCCTATTATTTCATTTATTCCATATTTTGAAATTAAAAGAAACCTAAAATTTAGAGATACTCCTCATCCATTATTCTCTTAAGCATTATTCTCAAAGAAACATTAATAACATATAAAGGGGAAAGAAAGCTGGTTGAATGCACTTTGAATCTGCTAAGAGGAAAATGAAAGCAACTTGAAAAACTACATCCAAAAGGAAGGAAGGAAGGAAGAATGAAAGAAAATGGGATGGGGAGGGAAAGCATAATCAAAGTAACATAATTTTTTTTATTGAAATTTATTTATTTTTAATAAACACGATATGAGTAGGGGTGTTCTCGAGACAAGTAATTTGTTCCACCAAAGCCACACTCTTTATATAGCGTATATTTTGGATTTTCAAGATCAAATGCACCATGGGAAAACCTTGGTTAGTCAAGTGGTCCACATCACATACTCTATTATTGGAGAAAGTCTTAAATAAGAATCAAATAACAACATTTCTATTACAAGCTTAAAAATTAAAACTTCCTCAAAATGGACTTATTATGGGTATTGTTAATGCATTTTTGTTATGAATTTGTGCGCATTCATAAGAAACATTTTAAGCTCAACTTCTTGTAAGATATGAGATTCAAAGGAACAATAAAATCAAGAACTTTGAGTATAGACACAAGATTCAGAATCAACACGCATATTCATGAATTTCAAAATGGAAAACTCAAGAGTTTCATCGGGCACGTTCATGGTCATTTTTTATTTTAAACATCAATCACCGTTTTTATAGTGGCCTTAAAAGGTCTTTCAAGTAAAATTGATGTACCTTTGCATATTTACATTGGTCATGCATGTAAAAAATCACAAAATCTACATGAATGGTCAACTTATCTACCTAAACTAAAACACCTAGCTTCTACAATGCCCCCAAGAATATCTAATAGGTTGGTCTTGGAAGTTGCATGTACATAATAGTGGATTTAGGTCATTCAACCCTAAGTGCAAGTCACCGGAGAAAGACATTGAATTTCACCCAAATCGAGCATAGTTTTTTATGAAGTATATTAGCCTAGATCTGTGACCCACACACTCATGGACATACATGGCTATCCCAACCATAAGTTGGACTTCATTCTTAGTCAGCCCACCGGCCATTCAAGGACACCATCACACAAACAAGTCGAAGATACATACTAGACTTCGAAGTTGGACCGGGCCAACCCCTCGGCCTCAAACTTCTCGTCCCCGAGGTAAGGCTTGACCAAGCAATAGAATATTCGGGCGAAATCAGTCTCTGTGTCTCTTTTATTATTTTATACATTCATGACTAAAATAAATACTACCTCCATCCCAAAAAAACTTTGTTATTTCATGAAAGCTATACAATTTTGATTAGTACAATATTAAGGAAGCTGTAAATTTTGTACTTTTATGAAAGTACTTTGATGGATAGTGTACCCGAGGGGTAGCTTATCCGAGGGTTATTGCAGGGAATAACAAGAGAGAAGTCAGAGCAAGTAAGAGAGGGAGAGTATATTGAGTTGAGGCGTTAAAGCGTGGTTACAAACGGGGAAATGGGGTGCTATTTATAGTAGCAATAAATGCCGGACAGGGACACGTGTCAAGCGCCCATTGGCCGAGAGGTCACCTCAACTGGTTGGTGTTGGCAGCCGCATGTGGCCGCATTTAATGCGGCTGTTGGACGGGACGTCTGTGCAGGGTACGGTGATCTGTACGCATGTGACGCGGATATCATGTCGGGAGAGGTGCCCTCGGCTGCAGAGGACTAGCCGAGGGCTCCTAGTGCTGAGGACCTCTGAGTGCCGAGGGCTACTATTTTCGCCGTTTTCTCCCGGTTCCTCTGTTTGTTCGAAATATCCACGCTGTGATAGTTTGGAGCCTTCGGCCAGGGGGCCGAAGGCACCCCTGGTGCGTATTGCGGGCTGCTTGGTACTCTGGGCGCCGTGATTTGGGCCTGCTTGAGCTTCCTGGGCCGGTTGGGCCTTCATTGGTGTAGTAGGAGTCTGTGGGCCGGGTGTTCCCGGGCCATATACTCCATCAGGAGTCCCTCACTCCTTTTGCCGAAAGGTACTTGAGGGAAAAGGAGTAATTTGTGCTTGCCCTTTGATGTTGTCCTGTCGTAATCTCTGAAGTTGGTGAGGAGTTGTTGCTTTCATGTCCCTGCCGAAGGCAGTCCCTCAGTTACCCACATGTCGGGACTTGAGGGCTTGCTTTGCCGTTTGTTGGAATTTTTCACCAATTTTGTAATTTAATGATTTTCCCGAGGGGGTTCTCCAGTCCCCCACTCCTTGAGGCACTTGTAAAGTGGTGAAAAGGAGTAGAGTAGTTGCGTTGCTGTTGTGGGCCGAAGGCTGACGCTTTTCGTTTCATTTTGGGGGGATGCCTCATTAAAAACCTCATTAGGAAAAACCCTGTGGGAAAAAAATCCTAATGAGGGAAAAAGAGTGCACCGAATACCCCCAATGATGAATCGAAAATGTGAAACCTTGGTCAAAAATGGAGAGTAACGGTAATGCCGAAGGCTCTCTTTTTCTGAGGGCTCATGTGTTGATTAGCCGAAGGCCTGCCGTTGATGTCCTAGGGGGTGCCGAAGGGGAGCCCCTCAATCTGGGGTTCGAGGGCATGATGGATGAGGGCAGTAATTGAATTGTCGCCGGGGGGTCCCCTGCTTGCTGGTTAGTTGGTGATGAGGATATCCGAGGGCTCCCATTACCTGTGTGCTGTGGGCTATCCGTCAAGGAGGCATACTCCCCGGGGGCTACCCGGTCCTCACAATGCTAAAGGGGAATCCCCGAGGGGTTCTCTGTCATGAAGCCTTGGGCTTCTGAAGGAGTGATCCCGAAGGCGTCTGTTATGTGCTGTGTGGGGCACAACCTGGGGGCGTCTCTGGGTAAGTGTACCTGGAGGCTCTCCTTGATGGGGGGGGGAGCGAAGTAGTAAACCCCGGGGCTTCCAGAATGTAGCCGTTGGAAATATAGTCGTTGGAATATGTATCGTCGGGATATAGCCGTTGGGGGAGGAGGACACGTGGCGCGTGATGGTTGGCTGCCCGTGGGCGGCATCACCGGTTGGGTTAAAACACAGCGCGTAATGATGACAATCCGTCCGGAGGCCCGGATTCCAGCGCCTATAAATACCCCAAGCCAATGCCATTCCTCCTTTACGCATCCAACATCCTTAGCGAAGCTCTGCCAAAATTTCTAGAGAGAGAAACAGCAGCCCTCGGTTGAATCCTTTGTTCTCAAGGTCAGTTCTCCGCTTCCCCTTTACCTCTCTAGCTAGCTGTGCCTTGTGCCCTTAGGTTAGGAGATAGAATTTTCTAGGAAAACCTTAGTTCTCCCGAGCCCTCGAGCTAGAGCCATAATGTCGTCCCAGAGTGATTCCCAAGACATCTCGGGGGCGCCCTCGATGGAGGATGAAGTCCTCTCGAATGTGGAGTCCTCCAGTGCACAGTCCTCGGCCCAGGAGGACGTTGCGATGGCAGTAGAAGTGCAGAAGGAGCTGCTAGCTGAAGTTGAAGCCAAAGGCTTCGAGCAGGAGGTGGAAGACGAAGAGTTGGCCCTCGCCATGCAGGTCGCAGAGGAGGAGGAAGAAAAGGAGAGGACGAGGGTGACCGTGGCCGTCCTTCCCCCTCGGGGTGCTGGTGAGGCCAGTACCTTTCAGCCGCTGAACGCAGTTCCCATCCGGGTGGCCCCCGGGAAGAAGAAGGCCAAGGTAGTTGCCCCCAAGAAGAAGATCGTTGCTGCCGATCAGGGGAAACCCATAGATATGCCCGAGGGGTATTCCTGGCTCAATACTGCTGCCTTGGAGATAACATCGAAGGCGGACATGGCAGATCTCTACGTCACGCAGCTACACGTAGGGCCCTCAGCCGTGGTGGTCGAGCCGGGAGTTGACGATGTGCTGTCTCGGGCGCCCGAGGGGTGTATTGCAGTACACGTACTGTCGGTCTCCATGGGCCTTCGGTTCCCTCTGCACCCCTTCCTCCGGGAGTACCTTAGGTTCGTTGGCTTGGTCCCCTGCCAGCTGACACCTAATAGCCACTCCTACGTGGCGGGTTTTTTGAGCCTCTGCAGGGTCCGAGGGGTGACCCCCAGCCTGGACTTGTTCTTCCAGAGCTTCAACCTCTACCAAGGGGGTCACGCGAATGCCGAGGGCTTCGCCAACCTGCAGCAGATAGCCAGGTGGAAGCTATTTACGGAGGCGCCTTCGTCCAATAAGGGCTGGAAGGAGCGTTGGTGCTACGTCAGAGTTGCCGAGAACCCATTTCCGGCGGAACTTCGGGATCGTTTCCGTCGGCATCCGAAGGTTGGAAGCGCCGCTCTCGAGAAAGATGGCCTGATAATAGCCAAAATCCCGGAGGGTCGCACGAAGCAAGTGTCTATTAAAGATCACACTGCCGACAAGGAACTCTACGCCCTCGGCTTTCGGAGATACCGCTTCATTGGGGAAGCGGACGAGAAGTATCCCGTTTTTGCTGAGGCCTTCGGGGGAGCAGGAGGTAGTCTACGAGGGCCCTTGGTTTTCATATCTTAGCACATAGTTTATCTGTTCGGTCTTTTATTCCTTGTGTCTTCGGTTAGTAACCCCTCGATTTTAACCCCATATTATTTTTGCAGGTATCCCAGTGAAAATGATGAATGTCAAGGGGCTCGCAGATCTGAAGAAGAAAAAACCTTCCAAGGCCCCGAGGGGGACGGATGCGGGTGCCCCAAAACCCGCCGGTGACTTCTTCAAGAAGCCGGAGGGGCCATCGGCGGCCCAAAACACTGATGCAGCTGCCGCTGCCAAGAGGAAAGGCACGGGCAAGGCTCCTGAGAGCAAAAAGCCCAAGACCGGGGACGCCGAGAAGAAAAGCCCCCCGGTGGTCATTGTTGATGATTGCCCCGCCTCCGGGGCGCACGAGGAGATGTCGGTGGCGAAGGTCCCGGGGGGTGTCCGGGAGCCATCCTCCGAGGTTCTGACGATCTCCGTCCCGGTTGGTACGGCTGTGATGAATGGCACGGCGGATCCGAGGGCGCTTCTGAGAGGTATAACCCTCGATATTGACAGGGCAGCCCTCGGGGATGATGACGACCAAGCCCTCGAGGACAGGATCCTCCGGTCTTCCCTTACGGTGAGTTTTTCTTTGATAGTTTACCGTTTTGTTTGAGTTAGGAAATAATGTACGGCCTTCCTAACTTATCTCTCCTTTTTTTCTTTTTGTAGACCTGCATTGCCCTCGGAGAGCAAGCCCGGCGGCTAGAGGAGTGGCGCCTTCGCAAGGCTAAGCAGGATGCTAAGATGCGGGAGCTCATCCGCCAGAATGCCGATGCTGTCCGGCAGATGGCTATGCTGGAGGAGAGCCTTCGGCAGATGACCCTGCGGGCGGAGGCCGCAGATCGGGGCAGGGCGGAGGCTGAGAGGTCCGCAGCTGAGGCTTTGGAGAGAGCTGCCAGGGAGGCCGAGGCCGCGAAGATGGAAGCCGTCGAGAGAGCCCGAGGGGACGCAATCTCGGGGTTCTTGGCAGGGGGGTGGCGGGCCGAGGAGCACAAGCAATGGCTGTCCTCGGTCGTCGAGTCCTCGGTTGACGAGTGGTGTGATGGGCCCGGTGTGGAGTGGGTTTCCCGAAAGGGTAAACAATATTATGATGGGGGCGAGTTTTTCACCCAAGCCCTCATTTACCGGAGGATGGCTCGCCACTTGAAGATTGAGCCAAAGGACTTCGACCCGGCGGCATACGGGCTTCCCCCCTGCAGCCAGACGTCCGCGTTCCTCTCCCCTCCGATGTCGAGAGGCCAGACCTAGAGGATACAGAGCTCATGAAGGAAGCCGAGGGTGACGAACCTGAGGCCGATGCAGAGGTTACTTCGAAGCCATCGGAGGCGGCGGCCCCCGGAAATGACGTTGTTTAATTTGTAATTTATACTCAGTAATTTGAACACACTTGTAATGATCACATTCTTATGCTTTCGGCCCCGGCCACCTTTGTAACTATCACATTTACTCTTCTTTTTGCCGATTGATGAATGTCTGCCTTCGGGCTTTTCATATTTGAATGCGCCCTCTGTTTTAATGTATGCCTCCTCCTTTATGCTTTCCTCACGTATGAATGTATGGTGGTTTAGTGATGGCCGAAGGCCATGTCATTGAGACTTAGAAAATTTCTGCAAATATAGTGTGTCATGTAGCCTTCGGCTACTGTGGAGCCCCCATTGGAATGTTGATTAGGCCGGGGGGCCAATCTTTAGGACTTAGAAAAATTTTCTCAGTGTTGATTCCTTGTGTACCGTAACCTTCGATTGATAGGTAGCCTTCGGCTATGAGGTCCCTTCATAAGTTGAGATGAGCAGTTGACCGAGGGAAAAAATATGTAGGACTTAGAAAATTTTCTAAGTGATGTTGTATCGCATAGCCTTCGGCTATCATATTCCCTTAGCTGTAATATTGATTAGGCCGGGGGCCCAATCTTTAGGACTTAGAATTTTTTTTTACTCTAAGTGCTGCTTCCTTGTGTTGCCTTCGGGTGATGGTGCCCTCTGACTCTGCGTCACTTTTGCAAGATGCCCGGGGGCTACTCATTTAGGACTTAGAATATTTTCCAAGCGTAGATTGATGTTGAGCTTCCGGATGTAGATCCCTCCGGGTATATGAATAGGACCCTTCGGGTGATCGTGAGGCCCTTGTGTTGTATGAGTTTTTGGCCGAGGGCCAAATATGTGGGAGTTAGAAAAATCTCAAAGTGTGCCGTGGATGTTGAACCTTCGGCAAGTGAGGAGTCTGTCCGAGGGGCAACTGTTTTGGAATAAGCCCCCTCGGTCTGGCCTTTGATGATTTGTAATAGATGCCTTCGGTTGTTGTCATTTTCCAAAAGTGTGGACTTAGGAAAAGTGTGGACTCCTGTTGTTGTAAAGAAAGCCGATGAGGAGTATGTGCCCTCGGCAATTACTTGGAAAGTTGTAGAGTTTGACTTAGCCAGTTGTGTCCCTTGTCATGGGGTAAGGGCCCTCGGTATTAGTGCATAACAGATGCCCTCAGTATTTTGTTGGAGGTACCGTTTAGTGGACTTTGGATAGTCCAGTCCCTTCGTATTGTTGAAGCCTTCGGTGTTTGTGTGACCGGAGGTGACCAAGCAGTGGACTTAGTCATTTCTTGACGATATTTGTTTGAGTAGTATCCTTCGGGAAATAGGAGCCTTCAATGACCGGAGGTGTTCCCGTGGGGAGCCCTCGGCATGTTGTGATCTGTTGGAGTGTACTCTTTGATTTCTCGCTGGGTCTACTCCCCTTCACCCTTTTTTTTGGTTGGTGGTGAAGGGAAGGCATCAAGAAACTTGGTTTCTTGGTAAGGCTGGGCCTATTAGGAGACCATCAGAATACACCAATGGCTCTCCTCCCTCGGGTTAACCTTCCGAGTTCCGAGGGGATCGAGGGTCGTTTCCTGGGTACAAGATATGATGGTCTGTAACCTGCCTCCCCTTGGGGGATGGCGCGGAAAGCGCCTCATTTTTGAAAGTCGTCCCCTCGGCGCTAGACATAGTCCGTGGCCTGCCACACCATTGGGGTGGTGGCGCGGGGAGCGTTTCGGTTTGGAAGTCGAATCCTGGGCATTTCTCGTGCCTGTCATACCCTTGGGGTGATGACGCGGATAGCGTTCCGTTTTTGAAAGTCGAATCCTGGGCATTTCTCATGCTTGTCATACCCTGGGGGTAGTGACGCGGAAAGCGTTTCAAGGAAGGGTTTTCATTTGCACACTAGTTGCAAATGGCCGGGGGCACTACGTGCCGCCGGCACCGATGGTGGCGCCTTCGGTATATGCGTCCTCGTGGGGTACGACTTTTAGAAACAACACTTGGTGTTAGTTTCGATGTGTAGCCCTCGGTACTTGGTACCGAGGGGTATTCTGTAGGAACACTTAGTGTTCTTCCTCTATTTGACGTTGATGGGTGAGATGTGTACCCCCGGTACCTGGTACCGAGGAGTCTTCTGTAGGAACACCAGGTGTTCTTCTTTTTGATGTTGAAGGTGGAGATGTGTACCCACGGCACTGGGTGCCGAAGGGTCTTCTGTAGGAACACTGGGTGTCGGAGGGCCTTCGAAGGAAACGCTTGGCGTTTTCCAACAGGTGTTTGAAAGTTGACAGGAGAGCGTGTCCCTGGCACTGGGTGCCGAGGGGTCTTCTTTGAAACATTTGGTGATTTTCTTCGTTTTTTGATGTTGATGGTGGAGGTGTGCCCTCGACACTGGGTGCCGAAAGGGAAATGAAACACTTGGTGTTTCTCGTCGTCGGTGATGGGAGTTCCCTCCCTCGGTACTTGGTACCGAGGGGTCTTGATTGAAAACACATGGTGTTTTCACTGTTGTCATAGGTGTTGATGGTGTCCGCCCTCGGCACTTGGTGTCTGAGGGGGATCTCCTCGTGGTGAGGCCTGGGGCCTGTAGTCAGTATGAGGACTTGGCCGCTCATAAGTGTTTTGTTCTTGATGTCTTGAATGTGTCTCCATTCTTCAAAATTGGAGGCCTTGGGCCATAGGATAGTACATTCACTAGTTATGAGGGCTTGGCCGCTCTTACATTATTGATAAAATTTAACTAAGTGGTGTACATTCCAGTGCCTAGGGACCTCTTTCCCGTTGGGGCGTTTGAGCTTGTAAGTCCCGGGTTTGATGATGGCTGCTATGATGTAGGGGCCTTCGAATTTTGGTGCCATTTTTCCTCCCTCGGTTGGTTGGCTGGCTTCCCTCATCCGGAGGACATTGTGACACCCCCAAATTTTCCACCCAAAATAATACTTTGAAATAGAGATGAACTTTTATTTAATGACTAAAACTTCAAAAGTTGCAGCGGAAATTAATAAAAACTAAGTAAAAGGGGCATGTCACCGCCACATCCAATCCGTGAATGATTGGATGCTAAGGCTATCTACCAAAACACGAGTTTAACAAAATCAAGATGTTCGAATCATAAGTAAATATTAAAGTTTATTTCTGGTGAACTACATAGTTGTCTTCTAATTCGCACTCTCAAACATTGCAGCATCAAAATCAACATGATCATCTCCTGTTAAATACGAGCACAAGAAAAATAAAAGAAAACAACCATTAGCAATAATGCTAAGTAAGTTCCACCTAACCTTTTAATTAAAATAATAATAAATAATATATATAAAATTCGTACAACCTCATAAAATATTTTTCAACACTTTATAAACCATAAATCATAAGTAAACGATATATATATAAACTCCCAATCACATAATTAACTCGTAAACCATAATAATTCCAAAATACATGAAACACCAAAATTCTCCTCTTTTGAATTTCTCCCAAAATCACTTTGTATCTAACTTCCTAGTAATTTAGAAGGGCGGTGCTCAACACTTTGGTTGAGCCCGGTGGTCCGTTGTTATGTACGGCCACCCCGGAACTATCGCCGGTACCACAACTGCTCCTTGGAAACGGAAACAACTACTTTAAGTGTGCACACCCCCTAAAGGTATTCCAAGCCCTCCGGGTTAGTATGTCGATCCGAGTAGCCGGGATGTTTTCTACCAACTACCCCACCTCAAAACCTGAATGATGAGGAGCTGCTACTACCCCTATTACTAAAAAGCCGGGATGTTTTCTACCGACCGACAATTCACCTCAAACCAACACAACCAAAAATTGAGTAGTAGTAGACCTAACCATCCTCCACATTTTAAGGGACGTGGAAAACCAACACCACGGATTTCTCCCGTGATACTCACCTTTTATGAAAATGTTTATTTTTCTCAAAATCAATCAAAGTTTATCCCTCAAAACTTTCTTTTTCATCATACTCCCACAAAGATAACAAACTACGTAATATTGCAAAATCTCCCAAAATCGTATACAATAACGCATATTATCAAACCAATGTATCAACTAATATCTCAAATACAACCTTTTCGTATATTGATATTTAATAAAATTCAGCACACATAAATTCAATTCTCAAATATGCATACAAAAATTTTCAAAGAAATCATGAAGAAAAGAACTAATATCGGTTGACGTGAAACTTACCTTAAATCCCAATGCTTCTATTTCTATTCCTCTACTTCGGTCTCTAGATAATCACCTTTTTAATTAAGACGGTATAATTAGTCACTTATTCAATAGTTTATCCAATTTTCCCTTTTTATTTCTTCTTTTCGAATTTATTTTATCCACTAATTTTATTAATTAGATTACTTTATTAATTCGACCATTAATTACACACTACTTATAAAACGTCCAAATAATTATATTTAAATATACGAATTATCAGCATATCCAAATTATATTTAATTAAACTATTCAAATTTCATAATTACTTTACATTAATCAACATTATTAGCATTAGTAAATCCGACTATTGTAACAACTATTTAAATTAACTAATCGTTATTAACGCATCCTGATATTATTAATTACTCAAACACTTA